AGTAGTAGTAGTAGTAGTAGTAGTAGTAGTAGTAGTGGTAGTAATAGTAGCAGTAGTAGTAGTAGTAGTAATAGTAGTTGTAGTCGTAGTAGTAGTAGTAGTAGTAGTAGTAGCAATAATAATAATAGTAGTAGTAATATCACCCGTATTCATATTACTGTTGCTACCCCTAATATCAGTAGTATTACGATGGCTCATATTATGATTTATATTCACAGGTTGATGTTATCAAACGCAATACTAATAGTATGAGCGTTGTGTTCGTCATACTCTTCTCATGATTAGAAATACGATGCTCATTATTATCATGTTTTTCCTCTTCCTCCTCCTCCTCCTTCTCGTCCTCTCGTCGTCGTCCTCCTCCTCCTCTTCCTATTCCTCCTTTTCCTCCTCCTCCTCCTCCTCGTTCCTCTTTTTCCTCTGCATCCTCAGTTCGCCATGGTTGCCCGCTTTGATTCAGTGAATGTGTGTCTCTTCCTCCCAGTTCCCGCCCGCATTCATGGGCAGCGCTTCTGAATGGGCGAGCGGGGATACTTTTTAGTCAACGGCCGCGGGCGAGCGCGCCGGCGGCGAGTCAGGTCAAAGCGGGCTACGCAGAGACTAGTTAAGCAAAGGCAGCGCGAACAGGCTACGACTAACGCAGCAAGCCGAGGCCTCACGCGGCGGTCCAGCGGTGGGCGGGTGGCGGGAGAGCCTGAAACTGAGTCGAGCTGCCAGCGTGCAAGTATGCAGGGCGTCGGAAGCACCAGGAAATCGGGATAGACGACGACCAGGGTCAACTCCGTAAATGAAGGCATGAGACCGAACCTCGAGCAACTACGTGGGCACCAGGGTGGCCGCGGCCAAAGAACCGCCGGTCGAGGTGGAATTGAGAAATGCAATGGCGAGGCCCCGGACGTCGGCGCGAGCGCGAGAACCAGGGTGGCCCGAAGGACCGTCGGCCAAAGAATTAACGCCAAGAGGCAAGCGCGCTGGCAGGCTGCAACTCCGAGGGTGGCTGTTGCCGAGAGACCCCGAGGCAGCAGTACGCACGAGCGCGGGAAGCGGCATAGCTGCGACGCAGCCAAAATGGCGCGGGCCACCACGAACCAGTGCGTGAGGTGGCGCCAGGTTGACCCAACGCGGGCCCGAACTGGGCCACACGCACAGTGCTGACGCACCAAGTGACGACAAGCGGAAGGCACCAAGGGCAAGCATAGGCCAGAGTCCAGGGAGCCAACCACGAGCGGGGATACGCGAAGCGTGAAGAATCTTCTTCCGTGCAACACCTCTCCAGACCAGATCAGCGGCCCATCAACAAATTGTAAAACATCGGGGCGCCACGGGGCATGTGAAGAACAGCGCAAGATACACGCGATGAGCGTGCGCATAAAGCTATAAATCGCTCGACGGCAGGCACTGGAAAATCAGGCGGCGCGCCGACGCTAGAAACCGGGATGTCTGACACACGACGGCCTCGCGGGCGGCATGGATTACAAGAAAACTGTCGGCGGTCCGCGCGAATATCTCGCGCCCACAGCGCGAAAGGGGCGGGGCCACAGGCGCCGCCGGGAGGAACCAGCGCCAATCCAGAAAATCCGCGCGAAGCTCCAAAAGTATATGGTTGTGCCGTTTTTTGCTCTTCGATGAATGCGCGTCGAGATTTCCTGGGCCCCTCTTGGCCCCGAGTGACTCTTTGTAGCAGGCGAGGCCTTCTCGGTGGCATGCCCCAAAGGGGGCGGGCGCTTCCCTGCCATTCTGAATCCCCTGGGCGCGCGCGTCGGCTACGTTCCCGCGACTTCGCAGCGGTTCGGGGATCTTCTGACCCAGGTCAATCCAGACCTGGGTCAGTCAAGCCTTGCAGAATCTTGCAAAATCCTGCAAGATCCTGCGCCCGGGTCAACTCGAAGGATCCTGCAGGATCCTCTCCCAAAGCCCGGGTCAATGCGACCCTGGCCCTGCAGGATCCTGCAAAATCGGGCACTCTGGCTGACCCCCGTTCGCACTCCCGACCGGCGCTGCGCGCGCAGTTGCCGGACGAAGAAGGGAGGGTGGGCCAACGGCCAAGTGCCATTAACAGCTGCCAGCCGCTGCTGTTGTATACTGCGGCTGCGACTGCCGTTGCTGCGCTGACAACCCTTGTCGCTCTTATGACCCATGCTGCCCCCTGCCCTTCAAGGAACCCACAGTTACTGGCCCCAGTGAACGCGCCCCCATGCCGTGTCCGCTTCATTTTGGCACACCCCTTACACAAATCGCGCAGCGCAGGGAACGCTGTCCACGGCACGATTCCCCACGCAGTCTCCTTTTTTAATATTGTTTTTTTTTGTTTTCTCTCTCTCTCTCTCTCTCTCACACGCGCACTTTGAAACCGGCGGCGCAGAGGAGCCTCAGGCGCGATCGACAGGTGGAGGTGCTACTTGCGAACGAACTTAGTCGAACGCACCATGATGAAAACGCCCAGTCTAAAGCACGAGGCGAATCAAAGCAAAAGTGCAGCGGCCAACAAAACAAGGAACAG